CCCCCCCGGGCCTTCCCCCTCTGCTGCCTGCCCTTCAGTGCCTGTGCCTGCCCCCCCCACCCAGTTCCTGCCCCACGCCCCTTGCCCTCATGTCTGTGCCTGTCTCTCCCACCCCCTGGTCCCCACTGCAGCCCATCTCCTGCAGCCCATCTCCCCCACCCTACTCCCTGCTGTTCCCCTTACCTTGTGCTGCAGCTGTGCTCTTCTGGGCCAGTCAGTAACAGTGGTGGCTCTGGCCCTGCCCAGCCAGGGTAAAGAAGTGACGGCTTCCAGCCAGGCTGGAGGAACCAGAGCTGACACAGAAGGTAAGTGTGGGGTCCAGGTTCCTCATTCCAGTCTTACCCCATCCTTCCCTCTGGCTGCATGCCCCCTCCCCTATCAAATGCATCCTTGGAGGTTTTTAAGACACAGCTAGACAAAGCTTTGGCCCGGATGATATAGTTGGGGATGATCCTGCCTTGAACAGGAAGTTGGACTAGATGACTTCGTGAGGTCCCCTCCAACCGTAATTTTTTGTGATTCTATGAAATGAGCCATTTCAGCTGAGGACAAGTGGCAACCTATCTCTGGCTTCAGCCCTGAGCCTGGGGCCAAAGCTGAAGCTGAGCTGTCATCTGCCCCAGACGGGTACTCAAATTCAGGATGGGGCTTTCTCTTCCCCATGCTGTTTGGGGGGAAAAAACTTGTCTTTGATTCAAGTAAATATGGATTATAACAAACTGGAAAATAAAATGAAAGGATATATTGTTCTAATAAAGTGGTTTTAGTACTCTACATGCCAGCTTAACAGTGAAGTCACTATCAATGTCTCCATTATTATGCATGAAGGTGCTAATAGACACCAATCCAAGGAGGACTTAACCATACATTGACCAGAGATGTAATCATATTCAGTAAATGGGCCTCAAAGGTAAGGCAAGGACCCTTGCTGGAGGGCATAAAAAGAAATGTCTTCAATAACAGACAAAATATTGATGTCCCTTGATGTAAGACCTTCAACACGGGTCCAAAGGAGATCTGGAAAGCTTTGTTCTAAATGAAAAAAATGAGGCAATTCTCATTCTATGTGTCAAAGCTATATATCTGATGTGCAAATAATAAGCATTTCTGGATACCAAGTATTAACAGGATCACAGCATGGTTCACAGCAAATTCATATTGCACATGAAAGGACTGTACTGAGAGTTTCTTTTCAGCAGCAGTATATTGCTGAACAATGATTGAATTAAAGCTAAGTAGTGATTTCCCAGAATCGATGGAGAGAGTATCCTTGCTTATATCAGTTGCTAAGAGAATTCAGTTATCCAGAAAGAAGTGTGTGGGGTATTAGCATTTATGAGCAAGTATCGGTGTTACGTCCTTATGTTAAATCCTGTGTGCTATTTTGTGTTCTGGCTCATTGTGTACGTCTATATTACAAAAACGGTCAGGGATTTCACTAAATATTTAAATAATGTTAATATAAAATTGACATTTGTTTTTTCCATTTAGAAAAAAAAAGATCACAAAGCATTGACTTCAGCCATGATAAATGACATTTAATGGGGATTCGCATGAAACTGAATGGGGGGCAGCAGAACAGCTGTACAAAAAAGAGTACAAATATTAACCACTGGACAGTGGCAGAGAAGCAGGTGGCAGTAGCTGCAGGCTATTTTTACACTTCATTTGCTATTGTAGGGCATTAGGATAGTAACTAAAACCTAATGATCCAAATACAGTATTACATTTTACTGCTTTCTGTTTAAATAGCCACTGGCAATAAAAAAATATTAATGAAGACATACATGCATTAATGGTGTCAGCTAGTGATGGAAATCAGTGCAGTATGCAGTGTGATTTACTGCTGTCAGCATATGATATAGTGGCACTGTGTGAATGTATTATTCAATTTGAGACTTCATCAAAGAGTT